GTTGAGGTTGAGTCTCATTGTGAGCATTCTGTTTCTTAATTTTTTTGTATTTCTGTATTTCGCCTTGGTTGTACGCATTGCGGAATACAGGTTATATTTGTTGCACTAAATAGTAATTAGGCAAACTATAGTTACGTATGGTAATCAAACTCTAAACCATAGTGCTTTGTGAAAATTCTTTTATTATCATCATAGTTCTTTATTGTTCGAGTGGCATTAAATAAAAAAGAAACTGAAGATTAATTAGAAGAATTTAATGCTTAGAATTTAATTTTGCAAGTAACGGGTTCATGGGAAAAACGCATGAAACAGTTGCTATAAAAATATTTTCAGAAACATACTTCTTTAATCCCCCTTATTCATATAGTGACTTTAATGCATTTGAGTGAACCAAAAATGACAACATCACAAATCATTGTCCTTATGACTTTCATGGTCTTCGCTTTTGCATCACTAGGTGGGTATTTTCCTTAATTAATTAGCAAAAGTTAGTACTAAATTTATAATATCAAAGCTCATTTATTTTTCTAATCAATGAAAATAATTAATTATGCTTGTAAACATTTTTAATTTCTACCAAATTAATGACGATACTTCTCATCATGTTCTTTAATTAAATTTATAATGTCAAACATTTTTAATGATTATGATCATTCATTAAAATTCATTATCCAATGGATTGTTTAAAACTATGTTTTTGTAAATAAAAAAAAAAGTATTTAAAGGTGTTAGTGGTTTTCTTGTAACTTCTTGAATTCATTAAGCAAAATACATTTGTGAAAAAAATGAAAAATATGAAGTAAACAAAAGAATCTTTCATTTTGTTTGATTTTAATCGTTTTTGTTAATGAATCATCAACTCGTAATTTAAATATTTTAACTCATGCAGAGTTGACAGCTGGGCAATGTTGGCTTTTTGTTCACGAAGATTCGGGATCATGTATAAGTGATGATGATTGTCAGGTTCAGTGTAACATATATCATGATCGTGCAGCTTCTGTTAAGGGTCAATATGAAGCTCAAATGAGTGTATATAGTTGTCAAGCTTGTTCGTACTAACAATATAATAATTTATTGTATTATTAGTATATAAGTTAACCAGTTAATTACAACTTGTTATTACTTTATTTTCAATGTTATTGTATTTAGAATGCGTATTATAAAAATTACATGTTATCACTTAACTTAATAGTGTGATAATCAAAGAGAAAATTTAGAATAAAATATGATTTTTGTCGTCTTTCATAAACCTTACAATACAAAGGAAGATTTATTTTCATACACTAAAATTTTATCCACTAAATTTCTCCATCTCATAATAATAAAACATTATATGTTGCATTGTGAGGATCTCAATTTTGCTCTGTAGAATGTCGTGACCGTACATAATCTCTAAGTTTAGGTAAACTTAACAAACATGCGGAAGTAAATGAAACAGTAATTTAAAAATATCAAAACTCAACAAAACATAAAAAAGGAAATTCTCTACAACTCAAGGTGTATACAATAGCCCAAAACCCGACGTAATACAAGTCACAAGTTCTATGACAATAGCTAAATATTAAAAACATTAATTTTATCCAATGTAAAATTTATTTTATATGATAAAAAGGTCGACCAATTTTGCGTTGAAGTTTTGTACTTTTAATAGTCTGGATTGATTGAGAAGAGAAAATTAAGTGAAACGTTATTTTCCTATATATTTAGTAGTTTTTAGTTTTAGTTTTACATTATTTACCACATAATTATTATAAATTAATATACTATGTTGCAAATACTAAGTGATTCTTCTAAAAAATTACTCATTGATGTAAAAAAAATTATTTTGTTCATCATAATAAAGTACCAATAGGATGTCATTTTCCAATTGCCATATAAAAATCACTTTAAGGTCATTGCATTCCGTAACAAAAATTGATAATCTATATATATATTATTATAAAAGTAGGAAGCCCTAAACTTAAAAGTTGAATTACTAAAATACCCCTATGAATTAATTAAGTATCTTTTTTTTTTATATAGTATCACGCTTATTTGAAGGGTTGCAATTATCACGCTTATTTGAAGGGTTGCAATCTTTCACATTAGTTACTAATGATCACAATTGTTTTAGACTAACATTCCTATTTTGATTTTGTTTCCAACCGTTGCTACTTTCCTTTATAGGCCTTCGACTATTCCTTTCACAAATCACATAGATATAATCCAAACGAGAAGAAGAAGAGTAGTTCTAATGTTCGATTAGTTGAAATTTTATCAAGAAACAGAAAAATATAGTGAACGAAAATTTTCGCGGAAAGTTGACGTCATTGTGATTTGTGGAACAAAGGTAACAACGGAAATCTAGGTATGTTCTTGCCATCTCGGGATAGAAAGAATTCCGAACAATTCGTAACAATCTACAATTTCACTTCCTTGCTTGTCCAATTCTGATGTTATTCTTATAATAAAGTATCTTTCATTCTTCAATATTAATAAGGAGAAGTTTTGTTCCATAAATGGTGAAAGCAAAAACATATCTATCTATATTATTATTATAAAAGTGGGAACCTCAAAAATTAAAAGAGGAATTACTAAAATATTCTTCTTACATATATATATATATATATATATATATATATATACTTCTTTTTTCACCAGATACGTAAATATTCTACTTATAAAACAATTTAATAAACAGAACCTTGAAAAAACATAACGATGAGGTGTGGCGATTGGCAAAGTTTAGAACCAACTACATGGCCATTGGCAAATATGTGATACGTGCTGCAACTTTGTCAAGGATGTTGCCATTTCCTCAAGGCGACGATTTGGTATGATATCTAAATTGAAAGAGGCATTTCTGTTCCATATTTTGCGTGTCATGTGCTTTATTTTCCTTTAAACAACAAAAGCACAAATGTGGAGACAAAATACTACAAATATAATACATCCAGAATACTTGAAACTCCTCCAAGATTATGGGGACGTTCCAGTAACGTTTCTAACATGTTTTCCTTTTATTCTTTTCATTCTTTTTATCTTTTGATTTCTTCCTTTAGGATAATGGAAACTAGAAAGCAAATCAATGGAGGAAAGAAAATCTTGGGATTAAAGCGACAACCAGGGGCGAAAGGGTGTTCACCCGAATCCCTTCACCGAAAAATTACACTGTATATATAAGGCGAAATCTGTTTTTTACCTCTATATATTATGTTTTGAATCTCCTTGACACAGCCCAAAAGCATAGCTTAGTGGTCAAGGGATCAAAACCTTTGTAAGGTCATTGATTCAATTCCCACTAACTACAATCTTCTTAAACGTTTTTCTTTTTTGAACCAAAATCCTGCCTCCGCCACTAACGCCAATATCAAAGTGTTGAATCAAGGAAAATGTTCAACAAATAATAAAAAGAAGAACTTTAATTCATTGGGTTAGAATGGAGGAACCATAATAAATTAAATTAAAATAATGCAAGAAAATGCTTGGAACGGTTCTGAATTGGAAAAATAATTTCAATGCTCTCTAACAAGTTTGTCTCATCGAGTGATCAGTGATACATCACTTCTCTACACATGCAGCCAGTATTGTTAGAGTAATAGAAAGATGGACTTTAAATTGAACAGTGAACTATTCTCAGGCATCTGATAAAACGAAAAATGATCTCTATATGAAGAAGCGGTGATGGAAAAAAAAATATATTAAGAAGCGGTTGCAATAGTACACGGGCTCAGAAGAGTAGCAATATGTCTCTTTTCTTCCATTTTATTTGATACCATATGCTTTCTTTTCTCATGTGATAGACCATGAATTTACAACTTCTTTTCTGATTTTTAAAATGTGTACATTGAATTATACTAACATGTTTACTGTATTTTTCGAGTCTTATAGAAACTAATTTATGTTGTGTTTCGATATGAATATGATGCGAGAACGAAGATGGCTTCGATGTATGGCGTGGGAAGAAAGAGACAAACATATATCGGGTTCTACTTTTCTTAACTTCATTTATTAACTGTTTACTACTTTATTTTATCCTATGTAGTTTTTCATGAAATTTAATTCTCTGAAGGATAGAGTAGTCATTTTATATGAACTGCTGAATCAAAATATGTATTGTGCATGTTGTTATGATTAGGAAAAGCATATCTTTTAAGGTATAGTTTTTATTCTTTTGCCAAAATGCATATTAGTTGGTAATACATATGTTATAGGTGCATACATATGTGAAATTTACGTTCATGTGTACTAAAATAATATAAAGTATACAATTTGAAAGAATCATAGTTATACTTGAATGCCTTTTGTCATTTTGAGATCATAAAGTAACTTGATGTTTTATTTAGACATCTTTCTTGTAATATATTTTGTGGTAACGGCTACCTTGAGTTGAAAAATCATGGGCAATATGATTCTTGTTTCAGCTGAGATGCGTGTGTTAGCCTTGGAGGTTCAATCGTTGCCTAATTTGTGTGTCATAATAGATTTTTCAATAACAACAAAAGTTTTTGCTTGTGTGTTTGTACACTCTTTGTTACTTGAGCAGATTAAAGCCCACTAATATGATGATCTACATTTTCTTTCACTTGGGGAGAAGGTTCATATATATAAGGGAGACTTCTATTGTAGTGATTGATCAAGTAGATGCATGTTTTATGCTGATTACAAGAGCTCCAGTCATAATAGAGAAAACAAAATGATCGAAAGGAATATATACTATGAATATTGTCTATAGAAAATTATTAGGTGAAATACACTTCATTACATGTATGTACTTTATAAAAACAAAATAAATATAAAAGAAAGTCACATGTATCTAAATCAAACATTGATTGTTGATCTTCATGTTCATCCAATATCCAATCATCTTAACCTTAGCTTGACAAACAAGTTATCATACGCTGATCCATATTGACCATTTATAAAAATTTGTGCTTTATTTCATGTATAATTATTTACTCATTAAAGCTTTAGTTTTGGCAATATTGATATTATTTTATAAAATCATGTACTATATAACATAACATAACATGTAATATATATATATATATATATGTCTAAGGTTGTGGTTCTAGTAGTAGAAGGCACGAAATTATATTGTCATTGTTTGATCCATCATCATATTTTTCACCAAACCTCTCCTCAATTTCGAGGAGAAAATGGAACATGTAACTCATCATCACATTCTGAGATTTCATTCGTGCAATTTTGCTCAAAAGCGATTTGTTGGTTTGAGACCCTGGTATTTTCGAACAATGGGGAGCATCCCGCTATGCTGTTGGTAGCAATGCTATGAATTTGATCTGTCTCATCCTCCACTGAGTCTAATGATGTGGTCACTAATAATCTTTCTGGATTAACAATTGAACCCTCGAGTCTGGTTTTCACCTTGTGTCGCCATCCATGTAGCGACTTCCTAACATTCTCTGAAACAATTGTCTTCTTGTATCTGGAACCCATCTGCTCGATCATCGATGACTCAAGGAATAATACAGAAGGATATATAACCAAGGACAAAAGAAAGAGATTACATAGTGTTTTTTAGTTACCTGAGCAACAATAACATAGAGTGGAAATGTGACAAAGCTACACCAGAATTGAGAAATAACCCTGCAGCGACAAGTTAACACGGGTCATGCCACAATGAGTGTATTCAGCAACAAGTTAACAAGAAAATGAGACAAAGATAGGTACCCAAATGACAAGCGAATCACGAGAAAGGTTTGATTTTCTGTGAAACACGATGATCCCTTAATTTCCCACTGCACCAGAAAAGGAAATCAGGGTTAGCCCCTATGGAGAGAATTTTGTATCACTGCATAAGAAAATTATCGCTTTTGCCTTTTCTAAGTATTAGGTGAAAATATAAAACAGACACAAACCACATATGAAAGCCTCTAGTTTGCTCTCTCTCTCATATTTTCTGACTCGTAGCTCAATATAACTTTGTAGTTTGCTTTAAGAGTTGAAAAGTTAAATAAATGTGATCTTTAGACTTGTAGAAGTTATGTAGAGGCTTCCAAAAGGCAAAACTACCAAGAGTGTAAAACAAGATAAACACAAGGCAGAAGATGTTACTCGCTCAGATCACCCAACGATATGCAGTCAATGGAGGGTCTGTGAATAACAATCAGTACCCGGAACTTACATCTATTGGCTACAAAAGGGAAAATATACCTAATTACTGTCTGCAGCAGCCCATAGGAACAACGTTTCCTCATAAGCAACTCTACTTCTTCCCATTGACAATAAGACAAAATTATTTTATTTCATTATAAGCAACTCTACCTCAATCAGAAAACTAAGTTCCCAAGTTCTTACCAGTGACCAAATGTATGTTGCCATCTCAAATGCGTTCTGCATATCATTCACCCAGAAGAGCAATCAATAAGTCATATATGAGGCAGCTATATCATTGACCTAAATTTAATTAGCGCTCTTCTTGTTAAGCCCTTTGAATTTGAGGATAATATTAATGTTATTTTGCATACCTGGAATGATATAAATTGTATTATCCGTAGCAGAAACCTAGGCTTCCCAAACCAGAATAGCTCATCTCTGAGGTTAAACTGATGAAATCCTTCCCGTGGACTGCTATCCATGATTTCAACTGCCAGCTTAACCACCACATGGTGAAGCTTGGTACCAACCAGAAGGATTAACTTCCAAAAACAATTTTCGAAAAGGTCAGAAATTGAATGATAATTGAATTATGCTTCTGAAGCAAAAAGAGAACAGAAAATAACAAGGACATACAATAGCAGGAAAGAAGGAGATCCAGAAGTAGATATTAGTGCCTGGACAACGATCATCAAAATTATCCATCATCTTTTTGAAAGAACTAAATGAACAATAGAACGGCAAGGATTCAAAAAGAAATCAACAGTAAACCTACTACACATTTTGGCCTTTTGCTTCATTTACATATTAATCTTTCCTGGTTCCTCTTCTACTACTCTAAAGAAGGGATACGATCAGGAAACAATTCAATAAAAGTATAAATGTGCTTTTATAACATCCTCTTTATTGTCTTTTGTTGATCAAAGTAATCTAGTTGCAATGACTTTCATATCCTTTTTGTTGCTGGATTTTTACTTTCAAATGCTAAGCAATTAGGGATTTTGTGATGCTGAAGTAGCAAAACAAACTGAATCTAAGCAAGTCTGAAGTTGTAAAGTAGCTCGTTAAGCGACCTCCTCAATCTATTATTTCCATTAAAGTAGTTAGAACTAAAAGAAAATTTGATAAAATTATCTGTTAGATCAATAATACATGCTGAAGCAGAAATTTCAGAGAATATCTAGAGGATAAATTACCGTGAAAGCTTAAAAATACACAAAGTATGACGAAAATCCATAGTGGAACACTGCAACCAAAGAAGAATCAAAAGGATTATTTTAGATGAATAATCCATAGTGGAATACTGCAATAGAAGAAAGAAAAAAAGAGAAAAATCTTAGACTTTTGTCGTAACCATGATATCTTACAGTTTATGAAATGTTGTATTTAGTCTTCAGAGGGACAAATATGTCAGGTGTTGTCTATAGTCACAACATAATTGGGCATCAACAACAAACCATGCCTAGAGAAAGGAAAAGCGTGAAGTGTTGATTGCCATCAGCCAGGAACACACACCAAGGAATAGCTAAGTAATTAGGATAGTTCAAGTGGTGTAGCTATTTTTAATAAAAGTCTGGACATATCCCTTAGCAAAACTTGACTACTTCCCTTTTTTTATCCGTCAAAAAAAAATTGACCCATATTCTTAGATAGAAACTTGCCTGCCCTCCAAGAATTCAAGCTAATATAAAAAAGAGCTGTACTTTTGAAAGTTTAATATTGATGCGACGTCCTATGAATTAACAGCTATATTTCAGTAATTGTATCACTTTTTGAAAGCTTATCTAATTCTAATAGTAATATGTCCAGACTTTTATTTAAAGAAGGTAATACGTAGTGCAAGGTTCTGGTAAGAAGAAGGCCGTATGTGGTGCAAGATTCTGGTGAGTAAGATGCAAGTCAAAGAACCAACACATGGTAATACTCAGTCTGAAACTTGTGTTCTTTATTAGTGATACAAGAGAGGTCTAGATCATAAAACTGGAGAAGCTAAGACAAGCTAATTAAGCAGTCAATCTTAACGTCTTTACTGGTGTCCGAACATGATTACCAGAGCTATTGAGGGGAAACATGGAATGCCGATAATAAAACATGAACATAAATAATTTAAACTGCAGAAATTCTCTATGAAGTTATTGATAGTCTGCCATCTTATAGTATAATTCATAATGTGGAAGACGGAGATGGAGTAGCAAATAGTTTATTATGATGCAGAAGTTATGTCAATCCGAAAAAATAACCTTCAAACTGATATGCCATTGTACCTAATACCAACAATATCACGAAATTCTTCCTCCATGCTTCGAAGCATATACTTATGGAAATCATAAGTTAATGGCAGCTGATGAGTCTGCAAAAACAAAATGAATATAGAGACATAAGATTGCTGCTCCATTCTAGTATAGGAATATAGAGAGGTGCTAGTCGTGGTTCATGTTCCCATCCAAGCACCCACAGCAAATTCGTTTGGAAGGTTAGACCAATACTGGAAAAGTCACAATGTAGTTCGAGAAAGTGGACCCTCTGCTTCATGGTTAGTGCATGCTTCTATTATCAATTAATCTGACCTACTCATCTTAGCTGTTAACTTAACAAGGCATTGACAAGAACTTAATCCATGAACTACACAGAAGTACCTAAAATAGGGCCTACTTGGTTTCTATTCTTAACTGATTCACATCATCTATGTAAGTGAATATTATCTTCAGTGGTTATTAGTTAGAAAGTGTTTTCATAAAATAACCAAAACCCAAATATGAATAAGGAACTGATTTAATAAACAAATTACTATTTAAAAAATGGAAATAGCATTAATAGGCCAGTGTGACTTAGAAAGTCACTCTTCACCTTCCACCTCAATGATCATTGAGGAAGATATTTCAGTTGTAGAGGAAAACAATACAAGACTTACAGTAATAAAACCCAGGCGCAACGCCATGTAGTCAGCTTCATTTATAGAACTCCAGAACTGGCGGCTGAAACAAAGCTAAAAGGAGAACTTTGAATAAATTATTTTTAATTGCTTGAACTCATCGCAGCACATGCCAAGAGGTAGAGAAGATTAAAGTATGAAGATGAACAATTTATCAGAACATGAAGTTTAAGATGCAATTGTTTACAATAATTCAATCTGAATACATGAATTAAAGCTCACAACAAATGATGCAGCTAAGTTTATAGTTTTACAATGTCGTTAAGATTTATGACTCCTGTGTGACCAACGGCAGTTTGAATAGTCATTGAATAAACCAAATGGCATTGTAGATCATGATCAGTACCACTCTAGATCATAGCTTTAGCTGCAAAAGGCACTTGAATTTGTTATTCTCTATTGCATTTTAGAGTTTTATCATCTTAAGGTATGTATGTAAGTCTTTTCCATGCCACTCCATTGCCCAGAACAATGTACACAGATGTCTTATCTTTCAAATAGATTCAGGACGCATTGTGTTGATGACTAGATCTACATGACTTGGGACATCTAGTATTCACCTGTACTCAGCCACCTGTTTATAACATCATTGGGCTAATACTATTCCTCTTAAGTTGAGATAGCATAAGAACACCACATAACAAGTATCCACTCAACCAGAAACACAAGATTTTATGTGAAAATACCAGCCAAACAAGAGCCCTGTGCTGGCTCCATGGGTGAGCAGTGTGGTGAAAAGTAAAAGTTGATATACGCCCCATTCTCCTGTTGTTTGGGACAGCTTCTTCAGAACCTAAGGTTAAACTTGCAAGTAATTATTCTGGAATTTATAAATAAAGTATGAAGAATAGTAGTACTGCTGGAAATTTTTGCACCTTCCAATCTTTGAAGAGCCATTGACTTGGCATAGTTTTCCCATGTTCTCCAGCTATATATCTGCATGGTTGTGGAAAGAAAGTTCTAATTCATGGCGTTTGATGGATGTAGAAAGAAAGTTCTAAGATGTCATCAGAGGTTAATCGGGAAGAAGATCAGCCAACCTTGATCATTGCCAGGGCGATGGCGAAAAAGCTATAAGACACATGGCTAACACCGAGGACAAGCAATAAACGATGGAGCTGCTCCAGGCTCTCCTTTGAAGCAAACGATTGGAGACCCTGGCAAAACTAACATGAGTGTTCTCTGCTCATGTGGAGCCAGTATTAGTACTGGCCACTTAATTAAAGACAACAACTAAAACAATTTGAAACTTGCAAAGTGATCTATATGAAGCAATGCAAAATGTGAGAGAACTTCATAGTTCCATCATCAAGACAAGCTTCACTTTTTGTACCAGGTAGAGAGCCCTGAGGAATCTTTGTTAAAAATAGTCCTATTTTCAAGTTCTACACACCTTAAACTTTTGATTTACAAAAGTTTAGGCTTCTTAACTCCTCCAATCTACTAACCTATGAGTACAAAATATAGTAAAATCATGGATTTTCAATGAAAGAAAACATTTCAATATTAATTGTGCCACATTCAGGAATTTGCTTGGCTATAAGGTTGTTACTTTCCAGTTGAATAATCTAACGGGGCAAATGTTAGCTTTCAACAATAGAATAGGGATTCCGAAGTTGTTTACAGACTATCCTTGTAGATGATAGCTCGTGAAGAATCGACCAAAATTTACTCATGGAAATTCGGATCAAACAATGTTTAAGGTAAAAAGTCACAGAATGGAAAATTGTTTTTTTTTTTTTTTT